GATGGCCCACGAATGCTTGGTTGTGCTCTGCAAGAGCGGAAACTCGTACAGATCCCAAGAGCGAAAAGCCGTGCTCAGATATCGTCCGCTCTCCAAAGCGCGGAGCATCGACAGCTTATTTATCTCGCTCAATAACACGTGCGGCATCCGCCATTGTACTTTGGATAATTCGAGCGTTGGTTCTATCATCGAATCTCCCATCAGACAATTGTTGTCGTTGCGCGCTCGTATTAAAATTAATTCGTTGATCACCACACGTCTGTAATCTTCGCAAAATCCCAGCAGTACGTAGAGCGGTACACAGAAATTAAAGTATCCGGCCGCAGTAGTCTGCGCATCCCAGCCGGCATTCCGCAGAATCACGCTTTTGTCGAATGACACTGTTACATAATTTTTGATCGTGCTAGTTATGCCCACGTTTCTGTTACGATCAATCTCCACACCGTTGAGTTTATATCGAATCTCATCGAATATAAACGCGACGCAATTATTTCTCAATGACACGTTAGCACCCTGAACCACTTTGTTCTTCGTCAGTTTTCCCTCGACGTATAGAAAGCTTTCGTACGGCAGTGTGTACAGATCCTGTTGCTATATGGGTATTCTTATCTCGTCGCTGTGTTGGCAAACGAATTGTACGTGTGAGTCTCAATCTTGACGATGCGATCGTCGAAGATCGGCTTGTCTTTAATGTTTAGGATATCAGTCATCTCAAATGTTGCGCACCGCGAATCCCAAAGACTTTAAAAATGTAACGTTCGACGCGCTGAGCTTCTTCTTCTTCCTAATGCAGTTAGGAGTGAATCGCTCATATCGGATGAGCGAGTGTTATCGAGTTGTGACGTCGGCCTTGTAAAGAATACGTTATTTCTCTGCGTGCGCTCCGTTTCGTTCAGCACGAGCATTTCACGCTCACGTTATCACTGTTTACGTCGTACGTGCAATCTAACAGTGATCTCTTCTCCTCGAAAATCGAGCAATCGTCCGTTCTAGTCGACGACGCGTATCATTAGATCCGTAATGCTCCGTGCGATGATCCTCTCCGATATCTTATATCCTGGCGGCACGCTCGGCGAAAATTCGTGTATCGCGTGCACGCTTTTGCTGTTGCTGTACGCACCGGCGGTCACTTTGCACTCTACGTGGATAACGTTTACGTTCATTATGTTGATCGACATGTCCGATTCGTGCCATCTTCGCGGTCGCAATATACACTTCGACGAGAATCCCAGCAGCGATCCAATGCTGTTGGGCTTGTCAAAGTTTATTCTGTACGCATATCTAATCTCGCCTCTCATCGTGTTGTAGTTTGCGTAATCGGGTATTCTCTACCCTCACCGTTATCATCATCGGCGTCATTATTGTTATTGTCACCGCGTACTATGTCAACGGTTTCAAGCGCGTCGCGGTGCGGACGTTTCCGTAAAATCGCGTGTTTCAGAAATTCATTTATGTCTCGTACTTCGTACGAACCTTCGGGAATTTTCACATCATCTTTGGCAAAATAAAATTTGTTGTTCGATTTATTCACGTTCAGTATCGTATGATAAGTCTCAAAAATCGCCAGACCGAGCTCGTAATCGCTGTCACTCAAATCTATGGCGGGAAAGTAGTTTGCCGCGAGGACGGTGCTCTTCCCGCTCAGCGTAAGCGTCAGCGACGGTGTTCGACTAATACTGAGATTTCACAGCATCTCGCCGAGCTTTTTAAATTCACGCGCGTCTACCGTTTGTAGAAATCGCAGCATATCTGTCCGCAGAAGCTCTGATCGTATGTCTGATAGCAGGCAGGTCGAAGATTACCAAAACTGTCAAAGTATATGACGCAGTTCCTCTTCATGTACGCTACCCAGTGAGTACCAGGTGAATACCCCGTCGCATTGTCCAGATTCACGTTACCGCTTTCGTTTCGACGCTGACATTCGTCACAGTCCTTTATCTTAGGTGCGGGACCGTCGATGTGCGTTCGCTGCCACGGCTGATTGTAGTGCTCGTCGCACCGACGATAGGTTCGAACCTCCGAATCTGCCTTCACGTGTTCCGGAAGCTAGTCCCAGACGTGTTCGATGTAATCGCCGTACGCGCGTAAGTGTACGACCTTCGGTATATATTGTAACTGCTCGGCGCTCAAGTTTCGAATATCGGAAGGATGACTTAACGCGAGTTACATTTTGCTACTGCGCGATTCGCGGGATTCGCACGTCTTTAAATAGTCGTTCGAGAGTGCACGTCTTTAAATAGTCGTTCGAGAACGCACAGTAATGTGAGCATGAAATTCGTGCTGCAACCACTGATACGCGTCACGAACTGTGACGCGAAATCGCGAATGATGGGAGCGCGGAAAAGCGCAAGCACGGCGAAATGCTGCCGAGTACTATACGCGCGATTATTTGCGGCCCGTCGAATTGCGATAAAATCAACGTTCTCATAAGCTTACTCGAGAGCCCAAACGTACGTTTCGAGAACGTGTACGTTTATTCGAAATCGTTGCAACAGCCAATTTCGTTGATAGACGTAAACAAATTTTCGAGATATCGATTGGAAATCGTGATTATAAAGTAGCCTATGTTCGGTGATGACAGAGCGGACAGAAGTTTTATGCCTGATATAGTTGCGATGTTCGGTAATTCTAGTTTTCAATTGCCTGCCCGTCTGTCCAATATAAGACGCGTCACAATGGGACAATGTCCAAATCTTAGATGAAGAGCTTTCTTATAGGAAGTGTTTGATCTCAGAAATGCTTCATATAAAGAAACAGAAAAACAGTCTCAATTTGCAAACGGACACTGAAGGTCTTCACAAGGCATATTTGCCCATTGTAAACAAAGTTTGACTTTTTGATACTGATGGCTCCTCGCTGTCTCCTCTCTCAGTGCGCGGCGTTCCGTTTCAGCGAGCGATTACGTTGTATGCGACACGAAATGTTTGGCTCTCACATTTGCAGTCCATTTGTCGGTATGCGTTCATATCTTGTATACTTATACAGATACACTAGTTCTTATTGGCTTACTCATGTTTGTTGGTGAGTGTTCACTTTTTATCTCAATTGCGGTTGTCAAGTTATTTAAGTTTTCTTTTTCATAAGAGTTCTTTTCCTTTTTTTCCTGTTTTATCAACTAGAACTTGGCTATGAGACTTGACATCGCTTTGACTATTCAATCGCACGAATAATGTCGTGCTCTACGTCTAGACTCAACCGAACTGCGCACTTTCGCGATCTATGAATGTTGTGACAAGTATTATTTATTTTTTTACTATTTTTTAATTCTATTCATTTTTGTTAACATCTGAAGAGGGCTCAATCCGGCAGCCGAAACTTGTAATGGTACTCTTTCTTTGATTATTATATATTAGTATACATTGTTTTCTTCATTTTCACTTTTTTGTATCTCTGATTAATGTCTTTTATTATATGTGTTCTAATTAATGCGCTGACTCTTATTTCACCCTTTATTTGTTTTTACTTATGTTACATACGAAGAGTCTTTATATCGTTGTTATTTAAATATAATATATATACGTGTAAAATGATGAGTATAATTGTAAAAATTTCCTTAATTTTTTTATTCTTCTTTTACAACCCTAAACCTACGAAATGTTCGGAACTTTAACTAGTGTTTAGGTTCGGAAAACATACAGATTAATTTATCATGCAACATTAGTGCAAATGAATATAAAATATTTTAGTGCAATCTTAGTTCTTTTTGCTCATCGTTAATTTTATTATATTAATATGTAAATAGTCAAAGATGAGATTAAAATGTAACATTTACATTTTTGTTCACATTAAGTTTCTCATTTCCACTCAAACAAAAAAATAAGAATTAAATTTCTTCAGTTTGTGTTGAGAACACACATATAAAAATGGCACTATAGTATATTTTCAAAAATTCAGAATACATTTGAAAAATTATAGAATAACTATATGATTATTTGAAAAATTTTGAGAAACTCCTATGATATTATATTATTATTATTATTAGGCGTTAGGAACTCGAAAGCTCATTGCCGCAAATACCAAATCCCGCCACTGTTCCCGTCCCTGAGCAAGATCCCTCCATTTGTGACTTTCGTACCCCATTTCGTTAAGGTCCATTCTATTATTATCTTCCCATCTACGTCTTGGTCTACCCAATGGTCTTTTCCCATCCGGTTTACCAATTAGTACTTTATATGCAATTCGATTCTCATCCATACGCGCCGCGTGACCTGCCCATCTTAATCGACGCGATTTTATGACATTAATAATATCCGGACTATTATATAATTGATGTAATTCTGCGTTGTGTAATTTTCTCCATTCGCCCGTTTCCTCATCGCGTTTTGCCCCGATGATTTTTCGAAGTACTTTATTTTCGAAAGCCCTAAATCTTTTCTCGTCTTGTAATGTAAGTGACCACGCTTCGCTGCCATAAAGGACTACCGGTAAAATAATCGTTCTGTAAATTCTAATTTTTAAGCGCCTAGACAATATCCGCGAACCGAGTAGTTTCTTAACCGAATAGAAGCACGCATTCCCCAAATTAATTCTTCTCTTGAGCTCTTCTCTTATTTCATTAGTTTGGTTTAAAATCGATCCTAAATACTTAAAATTGCTAACCCGTTCAAAAATTTTATCACAGACGACCAGGTTTCCGTTATTATGAATATTCTGAATTCTATCAGTGACCATATATTTAGTTTTTTCAACGTTTATTTGCAGCCCCAGTTCTTTCGTTTTATCTAATAGAATTTTAGCGTTATTTATTAGTGTTTCTTTATTATCTCCCAACAAAGCAATATCGTCCGCATATGTTAATATTTGTGTTGTACCGTTCAACTGCAAACCATCATTACTCTTCTGCATTTCTTTAATAGCATATTCCAATACTAGATTAAACAGAAGAGGTGACAATGCATCCCCCTGCTTTAATCCGCTATGAATATTAAAAGTTTCCGACATTTGATTACCTATTCTTACTCTACCTCTGGTATCTTTTAAACAAACTTGGACTAAGTTAGCCAATTTTTTGGGTATCCCCCACCGAGTTAAAATTTCATACATTCTCTCCCGTTTTATCGAATCATACGCTTTTTTGAAATCAATGTAAAGTTGATGTACCGATTGGTCGAATTCCCATTTTTTCTCCAAGATTTGCCGAAGAGCAAAGATTTGGTCCGCAGTCGATCTATTTCTCCTAAAGCCGCATTGATGATCTCCAATTATCTCATCTGCATATGGTACAAGCCTCATTAATAAAATATTCGACAGAAACTCCTATGATAATCTGTCAAAAAGTTATGTAGTATTTCAGTACATTTAGAGAAATTTAATAAAAACTATTAAAATTAAAACTATTATTATTCTAATAAATCGAGAATTATTATGAAAGTCTAAGAAATTCTAATTTTTTTAGAAATTATGACATACATTCAGAAATTAATTATTTCTTGTCGAAAATGTCACGTAAAACAGTTCAGACATAAAAATTCTCACTTATATACAAAGAAGGTTTGTTTTAAACTCATTTCTCGTGTCTGATTCTAGTTCTAAATTACGATTTTTGTTTTACAAAAATAAAACTGATCCTTACTTTTATAATAAATAATGTTTTATTATTGCAAAAAATGAAAATAAAAAATTCCTCCAAGATCTTTAATACATTCAAGAACATATTAAATATCATCAAGGTAAGAGATCACTGCATGCATCCATTTTCGTAAATAAATAC